ACGGCCTCCTGGAGTCTGCGCTCGGCCTCCTGCTCCTGCAGGCGCAGGGCCTCTTGAACCTGCAGGCGAGCGGCCTCCGCGATCATTCGTTGCACGACGTTGACCAAGGCGACCGCCACTTCGGTGCCCGAGGCGCCGTCCATACCACCGCTGGGGTTGTACGAGGCCATGCCAAACGGTTCCTGAAAGCAACGGTAACACTCGTTCACACACACTCTTAGGGTCTCTTTACAATATCGCAGTCTCTCATATACATTACATACACGTCGAGAACAAAGCAATCCCACTTTCTGACACCACTGAATCACATTCAAACTTCCCTCTCGGCGCAAATCATAAATAAATCCTGAATTCTTACCTTCCATCTCGGTAGACACAAAAACTATTAAAAGACAACTTGAAATGCGGAAAAAACATGCAAATCCACCCCAACAAAGTCTTAACAATTTTACAATTCATAAAATGATGAAGTAAATAATTTTGTCGTCATAGTACCTCAACGCCCTCCTGGGCTTGGAGACGCGTTGTGTCTTAGCAGCTGCTTGAGCGGTATAGAGAAATAATTGTAATGCTGCGGGCGGAGGTAAATTTTCGAAAACTCTTATTGCTGAACCCAGGTGGCAAATGTGTGAATAAATCTTGTTTNTATGTACAGTAAGTTACTTCCTCTAAAACATCGTGTAGTAACAAACAATGGTTCGTGGGTCCTTGATACTGAAAAATCTATTGACAGCAAAATGTGTCCGTCTGTGAACATTAGCATAAATTATAGCAGAACAATAGCAACGGATAGAATAAACGCTTCAAGGAATAGTGCAAGTCACACTATCGTCAAAATCACTGATTTTTTCGAAAATTACAAAAGTTGAATTTTTTTCGGCGCCTTCCTACAATATTGACATTTTTCTTTAAAGAAATCTGATCTGCCAAGTCAGACCTTGAAGTAAGGTCACGTACAATATTTTGGAAATTTAATTAAATTAGTTTGTGTAATTTCGTATGAAATATACACAAATTTGAATTTTTTACACCATTAATGTCTCAAAAACGGAAACTATTTCACAAAATTAAAAAAAAGGAGAGTTCTCACTCTTATTGAAAGCCCTGATTTTTGAAAAAAATGCAAAAATTCAATTTTTTTATTCAGCGTCTTCCAACAAATCCAATTATCAGATTCCAGGTTCAAATCCGGGAATGAAATTTTTTTTTTTTCTTCATGAAATGTTTTTATCGGACACAGATATAGAAATGAGGCCATGTTCAATTTTTCAAACATTTTCTATCACAACCGCAGTAGAGAGAAAGTTATGTAATGCTGTGTGAAAATGTAACACGTGAGAAATTACCAAGGAAATCTTTAAATAATTTGTACATCAAATAAACGAATTTACAATATTAATTAATTTCCACAAAAATCTTTGATGTGAAAAGTGATGATAAACCAATATTAATATAATTGTACTTTAAAGAAAGCCAAATTAATAATTATAAGAACGACTATTGTACATATAATGTATAAGTAATGTACATTTCTGTGACTAAATATAAGTTAATGGTATTAACAGGATTTTAAATGTGCAGCCTTACTGCAATAATTCTCCAAAAACTAATGATTTTCTCGGTCTAGGATCCAAATCTCATCTTAAAGATGTCACTGGTAATCCATGGCTAGGATTTCTTCGCAATGTGCTGTACCTAAATGTGTGGAAACAATTAAACAGAAAATATGAAAAAATGAAGTAAAATATAGACTAACATTTGAATAAAAAGTGTGAACATTTGAAGAGTGTAAACATTTGAAATTGTGAAAATAAGGTAGTAATGAGATGTTTAAAGTTATTTTATAAAAATAGAACAGTTAAAAAGCCCAATGTTAATACTATCTATAGAAAAATTTGAAAATCTGAAAGCTACTTTCCTTACTACATATTTCTGCAATTACTGGCCATGTAGGAAGCAGCCCTTTCAATGTTCAGATTTGTAACTGCTCATGTATCTCTCGTTACTTTGTAATGGCTAAAATGTCACTCAACTTCAGAAGTAGTAATGGAGACCACTGTCAACCTCGCAAAATATTATGAAGATATAACAAATTCTAATCTCGATTTTTCATTCTAAATTGCAAAAAAAAATAAAAAGAACATCCAATTTTGAAAGACAGTAATATGGAACTCATTGGAAATAAAGTGTTCAAATATTTGAAAATATAAAAATTTCCTCTTTAATGTGAAAATATGTTTTAAGTCTGAAAATATAGACAAATATGAATAATCAAATAGGTTTCAAATCATTTCAAAAACCCTAATTCAGGAGACAGTCCAAACTGACTCCTCAAATATAATAATTAAATGGGTTTCAATAAAGACGAAATGCGACATGTTTGCCAAAACCAGTGACGGGTTCAAGTACCACAGTAGATTTTACATAGTGATTATTCTTGATATGTTTAGTGATGGACAAACATGAACAATCTGATCTGTTTCAACGAAATGATTTTCAGACAATTTGAACTTATGTTTTGGAAATGAAATCAATTGATAACTGCCTCTCCAACATCATTTGACAAATTTGGCATCATGGTCCAAAACAAATGACAAACTTAATGACTTCACAACGTAAAGTAATGACTTTCTCCTCAGAGGGGTAACATTCGCTTCCTATCCTCAATCAATGATCCACATTTGAAATTTGTAACTTCATTTACAGACATGAGAGTTATTTTTTTATACTAAAATGAAATTTTGAATTAATATTGATAAAGCAGTATTGAAGACCTGCCAAAAGATGGGCTACATTAGTAGAATGACTAATGATTTCACAAAACCAAATTGCTCATCACACTTAAATCAAGGTTGTCAGTATTATTGCAAGCATTTCCAGTACGGTCTCCTTAAAATAAGCTTAAGATTTTTTCGAACTTTTAAGATTTCCTTCCTGGACAACACACAATAATACTAAATAAAAGTTTTGTTAATTATAAATTTAAGGCTGAAATGTAGTATATGGTACAATCTAAGGAAGTGGTTTAAACCGGCACTTTGCGCTGTTCCAGCGTTAACTAGGCAGAATTCTAGAGGCTTTGTTGAAAAGTGATGTCTTATAAAAGTGAATTGGCAATTATGCGTTGGATAGACTCAAGGATGTTTATAGTGAACGCGAGGGCCGAAGGCCCGAGCCTCTCCATGACTTGGATCCAGGCAAGCGAAGCGAGAAAACTTGCCTTTGAAAGTAAATTGGCTTACAATGCAGTGGAGACAAAGCATATGAAGGGCGAACCATGAAAATTGCCTATCCATAAGTTTTATTAATTTCTATTAGAGCACGTACAGTATTTAGGGCTTAAGCTCCGCCGCCACGTTTCTCTAAGGGTGTACCGTATACTAAATTTTAACCAAATTAAAAAAATCATGTGGCATTGCAGTTTGGATCTTTTATAGTAGAGAACTCACTAGCGTATACCTTTTAGGATGATAGTTATGACAATCTTCTGTTATCCAAATATTGCAATATTAATTCATTTTTCTTTCCTATTGTGTGATTTCTTCATTTTCTACTTTATAGCAAAGTCACATTGATATGAAGCCAACCAGGTCAGGACCTCTCTGCCCAAATATAATAACCATCTATTTATGTCAAAAATTTTGTTTTAAAACTTAAATTTTATTAGCCTGTGTGATTCTTACTATTTTCAAGGCTTCAAATGAATGAGCACCTTCAATTTTGTTTATATCTTTAAGATACACTTGATATACGTAACCAGCATTTCAAGTATTTCACTAATACTAATCATTAACTAACAGTTCTTTTCAAACAATCATTGCTGTAAATTAACGATGGCACTGTGAATTATAAACCCCCCACGTAAGCACACAATAAACACAAGGGGAAATATAAAAACACAACACAAAACAGGCAAAACATATTTTGCAATGAAAGAACGTTCCAACTTCATAATACAACACAGTTAAAAAATTAGTTTCAATAGTGAATCCTCCATTTTAACAATTGTACTTTTTATACATAATTGTTTTTTTATTCTTTATATTGAAAAATGGAATTTTAAAAAATATTGAGCAAATTAAATGAAATTATTCACTTGTGTACTTATCTATTTATCATAAAGCATCAATATTCACATTTTCTTAAACTTAGGACTGAAAATAAGTTAATATTAATGACAACAATGAGCATTCGAGCAGTACCTCAACAATCTTGAGAACCAGAAAAAAAAACTGTAAAAGAAATATTAAACAGAAATATTTATATATGCAAATTACCTGTATAAAGTCAAAAAATATTGGTGTTTCCAACACAAAATATCAGATTAATCTTCTAATGGTTCCAATAACCACCAAGATTTCATGAACTTTCTGGATGATTTCCTCCACAACCGTGAACAAGCAAGATAATCCTTGTTCTTGCAAGATAAGACTGTTTCTCCACCACCACAGGCTCTGCTATTACAGTATAACTGTCCACTGAGAAAAAAAATGTCCAATTTAAATAGAGTGCCTTATGACCGATCATCAGTTGGGCAGTTGCATAGCCGATTACTACTTAATATATTATTATAAATACTTAAAATAATACTACTTAATATAATACTAATATAATAGTTGTCTATGGCAGTTATAAAATCGAGAACTTCGTTACAACTAATATTTGGAATTGAAGATTCCGATTAGAATATTGCGTTTCAGCTGATAGTCTGTCACACGATTCTGTATTTAAATATAACAATATTAATGAATATTAATATGAATTATACCAGTTCTGATCGTATCTAACGTGTCACGTCAACGAACGTTAAATACCACATTTTCTGCACGTGATCCACCTGTTGCTACTACTGTATTGAACAAATGATGGTCGGAATGCGCACAGCGGCCCGCGGAAAGTTTAAATCTTCCTTTTTCAACCAGTTCTTAAAATAGTTTCTTTACAATCGAAGTTTTACTTATACACAGTAAAGTACCTTTTGCTATTACATTTATTTAAAATTTTGCTAAACTTTGGGAGTACAACTATCAAGAATCGTGACTTTATGGAGCAAAGGGGGTGAAAAAAATCATTAGAACTTAAGATTCTTAGAATCTTAAAAATAAAAAATCCCCAGAAATTGATAAGATCTCTATTATTATATTTAAAAAATTCCCTCAAAAGTAAGAATCTCACTCACTTCAATATACAATTCTTGCCTACAAATGAACTACTTCTCTAAATCCTGGAAAACAGCTTTAGTAGTACCCATTCCAAAAACCAAATACAGATCATACTAAAATGAAAATTACCTATAATCTCCTCTCTACTTTATCAAAAATTTTTGAAGAAGCAATCTTAGCCACATTAAATAATTTTATTAATCAAAATAACATAATTTCTCACACACAATTTGGTTTCTGCAACAATCATTCTACAACACATCAATTATTAAGACTAACAGATTACAAAGCATCACATTTTCAAAAGTCAAAACATACTCTCACATTATTTCTTGAAATAGAAAAAGCATTTGACAGTGTCTGGCATAATGGTCTTCTATACAAAATGTGACAAATTGGCTTTCCTAAGTCTTTACTACAAATTATTAACAGTTTTCTCACTTGTAGAAGTTTCAGAGTTCAAATTAATGCAGAAATATCTACCAATCACCCAATACAAGCTGGAGTCCCTCAGAGGTCCACACTTTCGTGATTTAGATCATGATCAAGGTTTTATCAAGGAATATACTAATACTGTTAAACCATATGTTGCTGTTACCATAATTGTTAACATGTACTGTTAGTATTACTATTATTGTTATGTTATAAGTAATGTTATCTATTTTATTTATTATTATTATTATTATTATTATTATTATTATTATTATTATTATTATTATTATTATTTCACCAACTTTATTCAATATATTTATTTCTGATGTCCCGATTCTTATTAATTTTGAAATAGCCTTCTTTGCAGATGACACTGCATACATAAAGACCTACCAATAGGTTGAGACAAATTCAACTTTCTTTCTAAATGGCTTCAAAACTGGAAAATAACTAATAATTCTAATAAAAGCAAAAGTTTTTCACTAAAAAGACTAAAACAAATATACCCTTTCATTTTAATCAATAAAGCAATACAATGGCTTCCATCTACAACCCCGACCAATTATTTAGGATTACTTATTGACAAAAAATTAACATGGTAAGATCATGTCCCAAAAATAGCAAGCAACATATTTATTAAAATGTTAAAATTATATCCCCTGATAAATAAAAATTCTAAAATTAACATAGAAACGCTACTATGCATCTTTAGATACATCATTCGGCCCTCTACTTTATGCCTGTCAAATATGGGGAGGTACAGCTCCTACCAATTTCAAAAAAATACAAATCATTTAAAATAAATTTCTTTCTGTGGACTCATTGGTTCATTAGAAATGAACAGATACATCAAGAATTATCTGTTGTTCCATTAAAAAATCTGTTGTACCTTTAACTCAATTAGCATCAAAATTCTATACTAATTTACCCTTATGTCCTGCAACTAATACATTTTCACTTGGAACATCAGCCTACCCACAACCAAGAATCCCCATCATACTAAAAACTTGTTACATCCTCCAAAATTTGCTGATAATAATTTCAAACTGTGTACATAACTATTCAAATTATAAACATGTAATAAACCCTTTGTCTTCTGCTTCTTCTGCTTCTTCTGCACTTCATGGATTAGGCTTGAGCCTGTTCCGTCTTCACAAGTTTTCCTTCCATCGTTTT